CAGATACTTAAGCAACCCTAGTATGGATCATTGGATATCAGTCAAAAGGGTTATGAGGTATCTTCAGAAAACAAAAGATTACATGCTCACATACAGAAAAAAATTAGAACAGTTGGAGGTCATTGGGTACTCGGACTCTGATTTTACTAGATGCCAAGATAGCAGAAAGTCTACATCAGGCTACATTTATATGTTAGCAGGAGGAGCTATATCATGGAAAAGTGTCAAACAAACACTTGTAGCTTCCTCCACTATGACAGCAGAATTTGTAGCTTGCTATAAGGCATCCAATTAGGGAATATGGCTGTGAAATTTTATCACGGGACTACGTATTTTGGAAAATATAGAAAGACCACTAAGGTTATATTGTGACAATAAATCTGCAGTAATGTATTCCAATAACAACAGGAGCTCAACTAAGTCAAAACATATTGACATTAAGTTCCTGGTTGTGAAAGAAAGGGTACAGAGTGGACAGATATCCATAGAGCACATTGGGACAAACTCCATGATAGCTGATCCTCTTACTAAGGGATTGCCACCTAAGGTCTTTCATGAGCATACTGCTCATATTTGTGGTGCTTTATGTTTGGTTGTATTGTCTGATTAGAATAAAGTATTCAGTTAAGACACTCTGTTACATTATGTTTGGTTTTGACCTCCTAAAGTAGGACCAGTTGAAAATAGACATGTATTGATCACATTGCATGTAATTTTCATGCTGCATATCCGTGATTGATCTATGTCCTTTGATTGTATTGGTATATGTGACCATTGATGGGTCGAGTCACGATAAATGTGACGAAGGCCGCTTTGATCCTATATTGATATAGTCAATGGACGAGATTGTTCGGAAATACCCTTTTCAGTGATAGAATTTAGGTATTCTTAACAGATAGTTGTTAGTGTTGGATTTAATCTAATAAATCTATTTGTGGGCACATATGATTAATCAATGTGTATTGCTATCCTTCAGGATAACCCACTAAAGTGATTAATTAATTTGGGTTAATGTGTATTTAAATAAGTCATGGGGTTATATGTGTAGATACCAGGTTGTAATTGTGATTTGATGAGGGGCCAAATCACAAATGTGCAACATCTATAAATAAGGGGTTATGGTCCCTAATCTAGGGTAACATTCTCTAATTCTCTTCACCCCCATCTAGAGAGAAATTTGGCTAGAGAAACCCTAAGGTTAGAAGATCCAAAATCCATCTCAAGTTTCATCTATGGATTCAGGTATAAGCTTCCGCTCTTTTTGATTGTTGTTAATCTCTTCGAATTTATCATGGCTTTATGGTTTTAGATCTCAAGTTTTTATTAGATCTAACAAAATTGTCAACCCAATTTCAATCGTCTCAGAAAACTGTATATTTATGTCACAAAGAATAATTTGGTCAATTTCTCCATTAGGTAACAATTTGATTGAAACTTGATCTGATGGGAGTCTGATGACCTATAAAAATGTTACCAGAGAGTGTAATAAAATGAATTTAAAAAATTAAAGCTGCTGCAATAAAAAAAACACCATGAAGGTTTCGTGACTTATGTGATAATAAGGAAGTATATATATTGCTGTAAGTAACAGGTTAATATAAAGAAACCATAAATTTCATATGTTTGCCCGTGTGGAAAATAGAAATTAGATTTGTTACATTTGTGCATGACTATGAATTTGTGACTCCTTAACTTTTCATGCACAAACATGCTTGATTATTTGGATGAAATATCCAGATCACAAAAATACTTATTTCTAAAACTTA